CTCTCTCTCTCTCTCTCTCTCTCTGCTCTCCCTCTCTCTCTCTCTCTCTCTCTCTCTCTCTCTCGCTCTCTCTCTCTCTCTCTCATGCATTATAAACGCTCCATTACAACCTGTTGACTCGCTCCGCGGGGCCTCTGTGGCATGTTGACGGAACCACTCTGCGGACAAAAACTAATCAACGACATCATCATTAGGAGAGCCAATGGAGAGGCCGCCTCTGTGATTGGGTTATTGCGCCCACATCACGCGGCCCCCAGCCCCCCCCCCCCCCCCGTCTGAACCCTGACTGCCAAGCTCGACCGCCATACCCTAATCACCTCATCTGATGCTGCTGGAGTCACCAGCCGATTACCCTGAGGGCGCCCGCCTGCGTCTCGTTCTCTGCGTCTCCAGATCACATAACAATAAGTCTTCCTGTCTGCAAGCGTACCAGGAAGTGGCGAGCCCAGGCAGAGACTCTGATTGGAGGCCCTCTGGAGACGAGTAAAAACGACAGCTGGCAGCGAGCGCGGGGGCCAGACAGCCAGGCTGAGTCGCACCAGATCTGAGGGGACTAAACAACGCTGGCACACACACTGCTCGCTCATATCAGGATGGTGGGTCTGCGTGTGACAGCATGTGTGTGTGTGTGTGTGTGTGTGTGTGTGTGTGTGTGTGTGTGTTATTTTAGACCTGAACGTGGCTTACTTTGAGCAGATCCTTGTGAAAATCTTGGCCGTCGTTCAGTCCCTCCAGGTTGCCGACGAACTGCGTGCACGACATCCTCTTGCCAATGTTCTGAAAAATAAGAAAAATATAATTTTACTTTTTGTTTCATAACAATTCAACAATTTTAATTTCACATCTCTCCTGTCTCGGACGGCCTGCCTGGACGCCTGAACGCCTCGTCTGTCCCTCTCCTTCTTCCTGCATCCTATATCCCATCGATTCAAAATTCAAGCAGCAGAAAGCAACAGTTTCTAAATATCATTTTTTAGACTCTGGACTTTTCCTGTAATGTTAGAAATGGTTACTAACACAGAAAAAAGGTCACAGCCTGTGACTGTGATAATAACGAGGAGGAGGACTGTGAGAGAGCCGTGCTATCAGCGAGGACATGCGGACAATCGCTCAGATTTGCAGAAGCGGCCTCAGACTATAATAGCAGCAGATTAATGATGGAGAAAGAGGCTCAGCAGACAGAGCAGAGGACCCAGATCAGGCTGAGACTTATACTCTCAGAAGTGAAGCGAGAGGTCTTCTGAGGGGAGTCTTTAATCTTAACGTGTCAGAGCAGCAGCTTACCTGACCGTGTAGATCCGTGTTCAGCAGCATGAGGGCACAGGTGAGAGTGTGGACCGCATCTACAGGGGGCAGAAAATGCTACGTTAGCGTTAGCTCAGTCTGAGAAACGAAACATCATCAAGACAGTTCAAGAAACTTACATGCATTTTTACATGCGTTCCTTACAGAGTTAAAAACAGATCGTTAAAAGAAATATGACATGGAGCAAAAGTAAGAAATTATATATTTATATACATACAAGATCAAAAAGATAAAGGGGGGGGGGCTGCAGCAACATGTTGTGTGCATTATAGAACCTCAATGCTGAAGGAAGATAGGACTGAGGGGCGGAGGAAATTTCATAGAAATCATTAGATTCTGATCACAAAACTTCCATTACAGCTTCTTTTTTTTTAATGGCTCTGTGTCTTAAACACTCGGGCACAGATATCGATTTCTCAGTTTTTTTTCTCACATCTGTTGGTTTGAAAGTCTTCCTCTCAGGACTCACCCTCTGATGGTATGACTCTTGGGTTGCTGTCCAAGTAACGCCTCGAGAAGTGTGACAGCACCCGCTCCCTCTCCTGAGTCTCACCCATCAGGGCAAACTGTCTGAGGAAAGTCCTGCACACACACACACACACACACACACACACACACACCAACACAGAGACATTCACTTTTTTATCACATGTTAAACTGGATTAAACGAGATAGAAAATCGAAGGGATGTAATAATAACCTTTAACAACATGTTTTAGAGAAATACAGCATTTTACTGTAAATTATTTGTAAGACAACTTTATTTCCTACTACTGTAGATACTGTAGATCAGGGGTCTTCAGCTTCGGTCTTCGGCCTTTTAAATATGCTCGCACATAAACCTGACAGCCCTCAAGCCTGATGTGAGCGAGTAGGTGTCTAATGCGATGTTTTTCAGCGAGATCATTTTTATTCTGGGGGCCAGATAGGAGGCTTTGAGGGGGGGCCGGATGTGGCCCACGCTGTGTTGATGATCACTGCTGTACATTGTGCTTTTTTATTTTTACATGTAATACCAAAGCTGTCCTCTAGGGGGCAGTGTTCAACAGTGGAGAGAATCCACTACTTCATGCTTTTTTAGAATAGAATGACTTTATTGATCCCAAACTGGGAAATAGTTGTGTTACAGCAGCAGGTTATCAGATCAAATATAGCAATATAAGAATAGATACATAGTAAATAAGCACTTAGAATATATAAAAAAGATTTGTAAAGATTTATACATCAAGGATTTAACTTAACATTCTTACTGGTTAAAAAAAAAAAGAAAATTAAATACAGCATTTATTCAGGCTTGTCAACTGAATGTAAAAATACTTGCTGGAGGTAAGGAGATTTTTTAATAATGCAGTTTTTTGGCATTATTTACGAGCTAAAAGAAACCTGTAGGAATATTTTACAATCTTTGCCTCACACTAACATGAAACATATATTAAATATGAGTATTTCAACATGTGTTTAAAATGCTTTATTGTCTGTGTTCTCACCTCAGTGCTTGATCAAGAGAGAGGCCTGTGAAGTTGAAGAAACTCAGATACTCTTCTGCTACCATCCGGCTGAAATCGTTGCTGTGGACGGACACACAAAATAAAGAATAACACGTTAGGAGGGAAAACAAAAACAATAGGAAGGAGAGATAAAAGGCACGGAGCACTTTGGTGAATTCAAAAGCTCAAAACATCCCGTCGAAAACGTTCAAAACAGCAGCTTCCTCCGTTCAGTGAATGGCCTCAGTTTGATCTGTCAGTCAATCAGTGAGAGAGTGGAGCCAACTGGAGACGGAGACCGGAGGCCAGGATTTAAAAAAAAAGAAAAGAAGGGAAAAGATTCACAGGAGGGTGCATCTGTCAGAGAGGGAGGAAACCCTTTAATACAGAATTCTCTGTCATCAGAACGAGCAGGCGGCTGACAGACTGACGGAGCTGCAGAGCACGAGGAGAATGAAGATGGACACAGAAACAGAAACCAGAGCGTCACACAGGAACTGTACGAGAACATGGAAGAGCAGGCGCATCCATGAAATAAACAGAAGACACAACACATGGAGCTTTTAACAAACAACATATCTGCAGTTTGAGAGTGCTGAACGTGTTCGTCATCACGCTTTTATTGTTCCTGCATGTCGATCATTTTGTTTGTAGAGCGCCGATTCATAACTAATGTAACCTCAAGACACTTTACAACTCTTCAGGAGTGAAATGTTGAACAGATACGAGCTGGAGTGATGTTTAGATTTTGTTGTAAAGTAAAATGAAAAGGGAGAGCAACAGCTGGAAGATTTATATTTTTTTGTTGAGAGATGGCCTGATACACTTACCTGCATGATGTCTTTATCATCATATACTTGTCATACATCTGTGTGTGTGAAGTGATTTGTGCACATCTTTTGAATTCTGGACTATGTATGACCTCCCTGATAAAAAAAAAAAAAGATGAGCTGGAGCGGAGATTTTCTGATTTTTTCCCATTATTTTGTTGTTATTTGTCTAAAAACTTGATTTGTTTTGGTCCAACAAGTCCAACATCATACACTGACGGATGAAAAATGACATTCTTACTGTATATAGTTATAGAGTAATAAGGTACATATTGTTAAAAAAAAAGAAAAGGAGGAAAAAGAGTTTCAAGATTATCTAGTCTATGTTTGCTGCAGACGTTCACTGTGGACCCTTTAAACCCTCTGTAACTGCATGGCCTACTGTCTGTAAATTGTTCTCAACCATCCTCTAAATAAAGAATTGTAAAAAAAATAAAATAAATAAAAATGACATTCTTATTTTTCTGTGAATAATGCATAAAAATAATCAGAAAAGTTTTTAACGTCTTCCTATCCCTTTTGAACATGAACTATATTATTTGAGTTATTTACTTTTTGCTATTGATCCTGAGGATCCCGTTTTTGTTTTTTTGTTTTTTTAACATCTTAACATGTTCAATAAATGGACTAATAATAAAACAAAGAAAGCAGGTAGAACTCTTACAGAGACCAAACATTACAGTCGCTCTTCCAACTTCAACTTCAACTACAAAAAACAATGTAATTATATAATGTGAAAAATATGTGTGCAATAACCTGAGGTGCAATAAAAGATGTAGAAAGTAGAGACAAGAAAACATATTTATATTTTCATTTCATTGTACAGTGTTCCCCTTTGTTATTGTTTTGTATTATATCTTTGCTTTAATCAGTGTATAACTTCTGTACAGTTTATTTTAAATCACTTAACTGTTACTACAACTTTTTTTATTTTATTTGTACTTTTCTACTCTTTTCTTCTTATAATGCTGTTCTATTTTATATATAATTTAAACTTTTTTGTAGAAGCTGACTCAGGGAGAAACACACACAAATTCCAATGTACCTGTACTGACCTGTACCTGTGCAAATGGCAATAAACATCTATTCTATTCTATACTGAGTGTTCATGAGCTTTCAATTCAGAAACAACAAACAGCGATGATGCTAAAAAGAAGAATCTGTTACAGGTTATTTTTGAGCAAAAAGCTGAAGTGCAATAAGTGAATTCCCCGTGTAGCAGCTCCACTCTGACATCTCTCCCTCATGTCACAGCTCCTGTTTGTGCATGTGTGTATTTGCAGCATGTGTGTATTTGCAGCATGTGTGTATTTGCATCATGTGTGTATTTGCAGCATGTGTGTATTTGCATCATGTGTGTATTTGCATCATGTGTGTATTTGCAGCATGTGTGTATTTGCATCATGTGTGTATTTGCATCATGTGTGTATTTGCATCATGTGTGTATTTGCAGCATGTGTGTATTTGCATCATGTGTGTATTTGCAGCCTTTGAGAAAGAGTCCAAACCCTCTTTGATTTTTTTGTAATTCCCGCGGGAATTAATAAAGAATACAAAATACAAACATGAACAATGAGCAGCTCACTTTTTGCTGAGGTGTCGCGCCACATCGGACTTCCTGAAGCCGTCCAAGTTGAAGAGGCGTTTGGCCAGGCGTTTGGCGGCCGCCACGTCGGCACGGTTGCTGCCGTTGGTGAGGGTGTCGCTGCTGCCCAGACCGAGCCGCTCACTCAGGTCCTGATCCAGCTCCGAGTCTGTCGCCAGGCGGGCCTTGTCCCTGCTGAGAGGGCGGAATCAGAGAGAGAGGGGAGGTGATCAGTTATTAAGATCAGACTAAAATAGACGGAGTGACAGGATATCTGAAGAAAAGGAAGGATTGGAAATGAACATTTTGAGCTGTCGAGTGGAAACTGGGACGACTGGAGTCGATCGGTAAATAATTAAAAAGGAAAGAGAAAAAGGATCAGAAGGAGAAGAAAGAATGATGCTGGAGTAAAAACTAATATCTCAAGTTTATCAATAATTAAATAATGCAGGAAAAAATAAATCAGGAGAGAGGGGGCGCTAGTGGCGCGGTGGTTAGTGCACACGCCCAATGTACGGAGGCTGTAGTCCACCAAACAGGCGGCCCAGGTTCAAATCCAACCTCTGGCTCCTCTCCCGCATGTCATTCCCCACCCTCTCTCTCCCTGATTTCTGACTCTATCCACTGTCCTGTCTCTACAATAAAGGGACAAAATGGCCAAAAATACATCTTCAAAAAAAGAAATCAGGAGAGAGAGAGAGTGCAGGAAAAGCCACAAGTCAGATTCAAACCCAGGCCACCCACTTGGAGGACTCCAGCCTCCGTACATGGGGCACACACACACTAACCACTCCACTACTGGCACCCCCAAATGGAGGAATTTTAACACATGATGGATGATTAATAAGACTTTAATGTCAGACAGTCTGAAACAAAATAGCAGACAGCACCCTCTGCTGGTTAAAAGTGAGTATTGCAATATGTATTTTTGCCAAAACGATAAAAACAGCTCATATAGATATCAATCAATAAAATAAAATTCTGTAAAATAACTTTATCCAAACATTTAAAATCAGATTTTAAAAATATCCAAACTGTAAAAAAGTGCATCGAGAATTTGCAGGAGTGAATGACGCCCATATTTTGTCTTCATTTAGTATCAAGTTCAACAAGAAAGTATGAAAATCCTTTTTATATTGGAGCAAACTTTGCAGGATTAAACTCTCTGTGATAAATCTCTTTCTGCAGCCTCCCTCACTCTCTCCTTATCGCTCTCATTAAGCTCCTTCAGCCCGTTCAGAAGAAGAAACTTATTACATCTGAATCATCCTGTGATCATCATTTAAGCATGTTATGTCACTCTGAGCTACTTCTTCTGGCTCCTGTTTGAATATGGATGAGCGGGAGCGAGGTTCTCCGAGTCTAGTTATGATGCTGACATTTGACGAGCGCTGTGTGACGATTCTGGTCACGCACGCCGTCCAGAGGAAAACAATGGCAGTCCAAACAGCTGAGAGCGGGATTCAAAGACTCAAAGAAAGAGGGGGGAAGGAAAACACTTCCTAAACAAGCAGAGCTGCTCAGCATGAGGGACGGAGCCAAGAAGACCCCACAGTGCAGCAGGCTCTGCTTCCCACACTTTACACATCTTCATAATGTACACGAGCAGACACTGTGAGAGCTCAATGACCACCTTTCATTTCACAATGTTCTGAGGAAACACAGACACAAGATTAACTACAGCTGACTCTCCAATTTCAATCTCATCTCAAAACACATCTTTTTTAAAACCGGCATATTCAGTCTGATCATTCTCCATCCGGTCTCATAACTCCTTTACATCCTGGACATTTGTGTTTTTAATGTCAATTTTATCGTTGTGTTGTTACTTTGTTGTTTTTATCTCTGCTGTGTGAGGTGACCTTGAGAGTTTTGAAAGGCGCCTTTAAATAAAATGTATTATTATAATTATTACAGCCGGACACAAGAAGCAGCATCAGGGTATGTGAATTTACTCAAGTAGGCCTGCTGAACAAATGTGCATGTTGTTGCCGAGGTTCAGTCAGAGCTGAGATTTAACCCTCTGGGAATGATGACTGTTGAGACGTTTGACTGGACGAATACAAACTTTTTAGATGATGGTGGTGCTGGCGAAGATGTCAGGAGGTCGTCAACGTCAATGAATACAACACGTTTCATGGCGTTTACTTCCAGTTGGTGCTGAGACGTTTTGAAATACAAAGCGCAGAAACCCTCGACTCCAAGAAGAGCCATGAGGTGAGGCAGAAAGTCTCCAAAGTGTAGGCTATGTCCTCTGGGAACCAGGAAATGTCTGCACCATATTTGTTGGCCGGGTATTTAATATGTTATCAGACATTTCTCTAAAAGGAAAAAAAAAAACACAAACATCTCACAAATGTTGATTTTAAACGTTATTCCTCTGGAGGCTTTGCACGCCTGTATAAAAGTTTTGCGCCAATTCTTGAAAAAGTTGTGAAGATTGCGCTATTTTGGAAAGTGTAAAAGGGGGCACAGGTGGCCTAGTGGTTAGTTTGCATACCACATGTACAGAGGCTGTTGTCTTCGAAGAGGCTGACCGTGGAGCCCGACAAACTCTTCCTACCCGATTCCCAACTTTATTCACCACACTGTCTTGCTAAGCAAGTACAACTTTGATGTTGTTTTGATAGCTTGTATAGTTAGTACTAGCTTTGTTACCACAATGACACAAGATTTTATTTATCATAAACATTCTCATTGTTAAAATAAGTCCAAAAAACAACAACAAAAAGAACAAGAAAGGTGGACAGACACAGCAGGGTTCCCATTCCAAGTTGCTTGATGCTAATGTTGCTAAAGCCCAGCTAAATGAGTACACAGCGAACACAATATTTCAGAGTAATTCAGAGGCGTTTGGGTCCAAAGTGGTCCAGCAGATAAATGTAAAAGAAGCTCAAGAACTCAGCCTGCATGAATTCTGACACCCAAACAAGGGACATGTGATTTTTCCCTCTGGCAAAACATGATATTCACACCCTCTGATACACCGAGTACACAGGTGACACAGCTTCCTGGTTGGGGACGTACCTGTGACAAGACCGCCTCATTGATAAAAACCTCTCCTCTCCAGCTGCAGATGAACCGTCACAGCAGAAAACAGACGGCGTCCCCTGACCGACACCTTGCCTGCGACTACTACTTGTCCGATTCACCCCTCCTCCGCCTCTCCTCCTGGCCTGGTTCCCTGAACGCATCACCATCCAGCCCCAAAAAGAGAGCTCCAACTAAAGCCGAGGGATCACCTGAAATGTGCTCCTAACATTCCTCTTGCTTGGTCTTTCTGGAGTCTCATGAGTTCTCTCTCTCTCTCTCTCTCTCTCCCTCTCTCTCTCTCTCTCTCGCTCTCGCTCTCTCTCTCTCTCTGTGTGTTTGCTGTCATTCGATCTTCACAGCGTGCCTCCTTCCCCCCCCCAAAAAAAGAAAACTTAGAGAGCTGTTTGTCCCGCAGTGCCTCCCCTTCTCTGAGTCTGTTTGCTGTTGTTTCTGTTCCCTCTTCTTCCCCTCCTCCCTCCCTCTCTGCGTAAACTCTCACTGTCCCCCACTGACCTTGGATTGAAAGCATGGCATGAAACTTGGCTTGTGTATCGCCTAAAAAAAATCTCCCTCCCTTTTTCCCTCTCCGATTTCACACTCTGTCCGTGCATCCTTTGGGTGTGTAGTACAAATTCCAGCCCACCTTGTTTGTGGTCTCACCTTCAGAGAAAACAAAGCTTTGAGGTGTCAGGTTTTGACTGGATGTTGCGTTTGGGTGTGTGTGCCTCTGAACTGTTTTCTCTGCCTGGGGGGAATAAAAAAAAAAAAAGCATCTGCAGCCTTTGTGAAAGTCTGTTTACAGCACACACTTGCATCAGAGCCTGCAGGAGTTTTTTTCGTAACCACCACCTGTTTGCAAAGGTTCCTGGGTAGAATGTACTCAGTGTCAGCGTCTGCTTTTAACGGTATCCCTCACATAATTACAACCCCGTCTCAGTGCAGCGAGCAGCTCTCTGCACAATGAGCCCACTGTCTGATAGTACAGCTTCTGAAAAGGCTGATGCGAGGGGAAGAAGGAGGAGGAGGAGGAGGAGGGGGCTGAAATTCCAACTGTTATCAAAGTATGGACAAGCCTTCAGAAATATTTGTCTGGTCGTCTCGCTCCTGGATTCCTCGGCTGCTGCAGGACTGCCAGAGTTTGAGCCTGTTTAGAAAAACCTGTGATAAGATCTGTGCAGCGCAAACATTTTCACCTGAGCTGGTCCAGTGTGATTTGGTTCCTCAAAGAAAGAGTTTTAATCAGGAAGCGGGGAGAGAAAACAATGTGAGTGTGTGTTTTAAAGAGTCACACAAATAGGACAAAGGAGAGCAGAATGAGGCTGTTTCCTTTCAGACCCTGAGTGTGTCACTTGAATGAATTACATTTACTTTTGGCTACTTTTGGTGTATTTTCACTTTATTTACAGGCTTGAATTCATTTCCTGGAGACTTACCCTTTACCCCTTACCTTTACAAGCAGTCACCATGTATCTGGTCTTAAAGGATGAGATGATAAAGGTATCTTACTATCTGATCAGACATTAAGGAAACATGCTATGTTGAAGTGCTGGCTTCTCTGACAACAATGCAGCAGCCAGTATGTCCTCCTTCTAACTTTAGATTCTGCTCCTGAATGCTCTGGATTTGTTTGGACCAGAGAAGGTAGGTGGTTTTAAGCCGACCCCCCACACGGCCGTTTTGGACGCCCCTCAGTTTGTCAGATATGAGAGCAGTTATCAGGTCAACAGGTGTTGCAGCGATGGAAGCGGTCAAGAGAAGTGGTTCAGATAGAAGTGATTGTACCCGACCTAAAAAGCCTCTGCATGTTTCTAATAAGCTCCACGAGCAGAAACGTGCTCAAACTAGGATCAATATTGGAGATGCTTTTGAAAAATGGAGAGGTTTGGTCTGCCACCCTCTCTCACCCTCACTCCCCAAAAAACATCAGAGACATCAGAATCCCCCTGAAAGTCTCTCTCGTCAAAAAAATCACAGTACAGCATGATAGCTGTCCTCTACCACCACCTAGTGTTCACAACAACGAGGTGGCCGACCCATGCAGTCGCTCTCCCTCTGCAGTGATGTCACAGTAAGTTAGGATGACATTCACAGAATCATCTACCTCAACGTCCCACAGTAGAAGAAGAAGAAGAAGAAGAAGAAGAAGAAGAAGAAGAAGCACTGGTGCAGTCATTTTCAAAACACTGCACAGACCGACTGACTGATGTTTCAGGTTTTCTGCTAGACTTTGAATTTAATCAAATTGAATGATATATAATAAGTTGCAGAATGGAAGACGTTATGAAGAAAGTTAATATCCTGCTAAGATGAAGGATATCTGATGATTAAAGTTTCATGTGCTGCAGCTGAGAGTCCACAAGGAGTTAAAGAGAAGTCTTTGGGACTCAGATAGTCAAGGTGAGTCCCTGCAGCAGCCATCTGCTTCAGACTAACATACCTCGACATCACACACACACACACACACACACACACACACACACACACACACACACACACACACATACGCACTCTCACACACACACACACACACACACACACACACACACACACACCACACACGCACTCTCACACACACAAACACACACACACACACACACACACCACACACACACACACACACACATACGCACTCTCACACACACACACAAACACACACACACACGCACGCACACACACACACAGACACACGCACACGCACACTCTCTCACACACACACACACACACGCACACACACATACGCACTCTCACACACACAAACACACACGCACGCACACACACATACGCACTCTCACACACGCACACACACATACGCACTCACACACACACACACATACGCACTCTCTCACACACACACACACACACACACACACAAACACACACACGCACACACACACACACACACACACACACACAGACATGCACATGCACACTCTCTCACACACACACACACGCACACTCTCTCACACACACACACACGCACGCACGCACACACACACACACACACACACGCACACTCTCTCACACGCGCACACTCTCTCACACACACGCACACACGCACACACACACACACACACACACACACACACACACACAGCAGAGGGACCACAGACGTAGCCTTGTAGCGACCTTCACTCTGGGCTCTGCAGCATCGCTCTGTGCTGCGAGGAGAGCGACACAGACGGAGACGCTCTGGAGAGACGGTCCATTAACGGCGAGCTGACCTTAGACGAGGAGGCGATCACAAAATGAACCTTAATGACGTCATCAGTTATGACTTCAGTCGACTGAAACAAGTCGACATGAAGGTTATTTTTCTTTTTATGAGCCAAACAAACATTTCACTGAGCTCTGCTGATCATAAATACGACTGATGGTGGAAAGAGAGAGAAGAAGAAGAAGAAGTAACCATGGCAACCACTCGCAGAGTCCATCCTGCTAACTGGTGGTCATAAAGGTCGGTGCGTGCAGGGTTAGCGCCTGTCATGCTAACAGTAACATAGATCGAGACTACCCGGCGTGTTGTTCGCTCACCTTGGTAACGAGAACGACAGGTTGCTGTACCAGCTGCTCCCCAGCTGAGAGCACTCCCGCCCTCTGCGCGGCGTGTCGTCCGACCCGCTGCTCAGCCTCTCGCTGGAGGGCGCTCTGGTGGCGTCCGAGTCCCCCATCACCTCGAAGATGGAATCGGACAGGCTCGGCCTCTCGTCGTGCGCCAGCGGGGCGAAGCTGAGCTGCACGATCTGCCTCGCGCTCTGGCACACTGGAGCGTGGATGGCGGGCGTCAGTGTGGGCAGGTCAAAGGTCAGGACGGTTTGGGTGCTGGAGGTGAGCAGCTCCTCGCTGTCCAGGCTGTTGTACGACGTCCCCTTGGCGCGGTGGGACTCCATGATGCTCTCAAAGTGACGGCTGAAGGTGTCCTCCGCGGCCAAACGAGGACCGGAGACCAGGATGGGGGATTTGAGGGCCGGGTGGTGGTTGTCGAAAAACGTTTCCATCGGTCTGGACGGAGAGAGAGAGATTTGAAAAACTCTGAAGTAACACAGCTGACTTTGAACAGACGTTTTAATGTGTTGGAAACAAAAAGGAACCATGATCATTTATTTTATAAATTCTGTCTTTGATGTAAAACTGTTAGAGAGTCGATGTGTGAACAAAGCATTTTCACATTCAGGGCGAGCGAGTTTCCTCTTGTGTTTGTCTCGCATCAAATTTAAAACTCTGCTGCTCGCTTACAAAACGTCTCCTCCTTACTTTAACTCTCTGATCCAGGTCTACACTCCCTCCCGCCCACTACGCTCTGCCAATGAAAGGCGTCTGATCCAACCTTCACAACAGGGTCCTAAGACGCTGACGAGACTCTTCTCCTCTGTCGCCCCCCGGTGGTGGAATGAACTTCCAAACTCCATGTGATCTGCAGAGTCCCTCTGCACCTTTAAGAAAAAGCTAAAGACCCAGCTCTTTCATGAATACCTACTAACTTAATGATGATGGTCTCCATATTATTGATGATGATGATGGTAATGACGATGGTTTTTGTTTGATAACGACGACTTATGAGATGGTTTCTATACTGATTAGAGCTCTCAAGAACTGCCCTCAATGTTGTGCTTTGCCTCTGGTCACTTCCTGTCAGCACCTGTGTGTCCAATCAGACTCAAAGCTGATCGTTTGCTCTTACTCACATTGTTCCCTTTTTTCTAGATCCTTGCTTGTGTTGTTCTTACTCTCTGATGTACGTCACTTTGGATAAAAGCGTCTGCTCAGTGAATTGTAGAATTGTAGGAAGGTCAAAAACAGTCACCGCTAATAAAAAACCCTCCTCCTGTTACATTTGCTACCCAGCAGCCCCCCCTCTCCTAAACCCAACAGAGTATTTGTAATGTAAGGTGCATCTGTGAATGGAAAGTTCCTGAAAATATCCGGGCCTGCATGTCAAAAAATGATCTCGAAAATGTCATACATGAACGCCACCATTCCTGTTTATGAGTTATCTGAAAAAATAGGTTATGAGTGAGATCCAAATTCAGATCAAAATGTGGGTCAGAGTTAAAATCCTTCTTCACCAGAGTGTTAGTGAACTTCTGTGTGTTTACAGAAAAGACTATGAAATGTGTGAACATAACCACAGCGACATCGTCCCCCTTTTTGAGGCCTTGAGTTCAGCATTTTTCGCAGACGCCATGTTGGTTACTTTGGAGTCAGAAGTGACCGTATTTGGACGCCAGGGTGGACACACATGGTCAGGTCTGCTTTATCATCTAGGTCAGCCTTTCCCAAACCTAAGACTGACCCACTTTGAAATACAAAAGTACCCCGAGGCCCGTTACAAAATAAAAATTATGACTACAGCTATCACTTTCAGTGAAGGGTAAAATATTGGACAACTTGATCTTATGGCAAGAGAGACACAAAAGTTTAGTAAACATGATGTCCATGAATAGTTATGATAAGCCTTACTAATCATTTAAAGGGTTAAATCATCATTATTGTGATATTTCTTTTATTTTTATACTTGGTGGGAGGCTTTTCTTGGCCCACCTGCAGTACCCACACGGCCCACCAGGGGTCCACTGCCCACACTTTGGGAAGCACTGATGTAGGTGATGTTCCTGCTGGCTATTAGAAGGAATGCAGCTTTTTTTTCATTATCATTCCTTTGGAAACCAGAGGTAACGTCCATTTCTTATATACAATCTTTGTTCTTCAAGCTCGTATGTGAGCTTCAGGATGTTTTCACACATGCACTCCTGAAAAACCGAGAACATTTCAGGTCAACCAGGACTATTTTTCTTTGCCTTTATATCAATGCTACATGTAAATGCATGTAGTCACAGTATGAAGGAACGTGTTACTGAGAACATACTGAAACAGAAAAAGCTTCTTTACATGTGAAGGAGAGGCCACCAGATGTGTGATAACTTTCCTGAATATTTCCTGTTGTGCTCACACTTCTTCTCTCCCCTTACCCCAAATGTCAGCCTTTCATATACTGAAACTTATTTTTGGAACGAGCGGAGTCACCCCCTGCTGCCTATCAGGAAGACAAGACTTCCAGATCGTCACTATGGAAACCAGAGGCTGCTTCCACCTCTTATATGCATTTTGCATTCTGTGGGGAGTGTGTGTGTTTCATGTTAACCTCTTCAGCAGGTGACCGAACACCTCCGGCTCCTCCTCAGCTGCAAACTGCTGCTTCCTGTTGTCTCCTTGCATCCTCACACTGGCCCAGCTCACCATTTCTTCCTCATCTTCCTCCTCATCTTCCTCGTCTTCCTCCTCCAGCCTCTCCTCCTCTGCTTCCTCCCTTCCTGTCCTCCCATATACCAGACCCCCCAGAGGGCTGCTGCCGGCCCCCGACGTGCCCTGAACGCTGCGGTTACTCCCAAACGCCGAGTCAGCGTCTCCTGCTCGGCCAGCAGCACCTCGTCGATGTCCGTCTCTCTGTAGCAGCGCAGTGGGACAGCGTCCAGGTCGGTTTCCGAGTACTTTAAAGTGCGGCGGATGATTCCGGTTTTGGGCGAAGTCCCGATGACGGCCGGGGGAGGGGTCAGCAGCTCGACCTCCACGTGATGCACCTCGTGATTGGCGGAGAGCAGAGGCAGGGAGGAGGGAGGAGTCGGGGTGGGAGACTCGCTGGAGTTACCGCTGGGAGGAGCTGTGGAGGTTTCCAGAGAATCTGCAGGAGGAGAGAAGTAAACATCAGTGATACCCCGTGTAACTGGACAGAAAAAAAACACATGTAGGTATTTAACTTCCTCCAAAGTTTAGTCCACATCAGAGGAGAGGAATCAAACAACTTTGATGTTCTGCAAGATTGCATGAAACGTCTGATCAGCCATCTTTTTTTTTCTGATTTTGGTTTTTAATCTCAAAATACAACACACCTTCATTTATTCCAAATATACCAACAACTACTTTCTCAAGTTAAGTTAAGGACACTCAGCGGGCGCAGACAGTCCAGTCTTCTATGTGCAAATCTGCAAGTATAACCAATATTGGTGAGTGTCATTGTCCAGATGAAATGTATGAATGAATGGGGGTGGCGCTGGTTCTGGCGTCAGGCAGCAGCGGTCTCTTTGTGCTGCATGCTGGCAGGCTGGATCTCCGTCCGGCCTCAGATTCCTCCTGCCAGCATGCAGGATAAAAAGACTTGAGAAAAATAATTTGTTCCGTTTCTTTAAACTTTTGTTTCAATTGTCCATTGGACTTTTATTTATCCTAGTGTCTTTAATTATGTATTAACTGTCGGCCTGATGCATGTTTGTTTTACCGCTGACTGCAAAACAAATGTTTCCCTCTCACAGGGATTAAAAAGACAAGCTTAAACCTTGCATATTCCTCGCCTCATCCTTCACCTTCTTATTGTTTTTTTTTAATATATAGGCCAACAGTTTTCTGAAATCCTGCAGGAAAATAACAAATAGATGACGCAACATATTCTCTTGATAATCATTTAAAATGCTGCTCAACTATCATTCAGTTTAAAAGAATGTATAAAGAAAACGTTCTGGGAAATTTAAAAACTCAGTTCAAGAGTTTAGATTTGGATTATCTAAAAATGAAAATGTTTCAACATAGGAGCTGGGTACTGGGACTTTTTAAAACGTTACCGGGACAGGATGGATAGTGGGTTTTGTTGGGGACTATTTTCAGCGTGGATGAATACACATGTGGTACAGTGGCTATTTAGGGCTGCAAGGATGATGTTGACACAGAGTGACCCTTCAAAGAGAGTGGATGCTAAATGATGAGACTCTGACAAGCTGCGGTTAAACTTCAACTGGCTTCTCTATTTCTTTTAGATCCCTCTGACATTCCCCCCCCCCCCCCGAGAAGAACGAGAGAGAAGAAATAAAAAAGATCCTCTTTGGGTACGAGATGAAAGCTGAAGAGCGGTAACTGGATCAAAAATTGAGGTGGACATGCTCTCACTTTTCTCCCCCCTGCTGGCAGCCTCCTCGGCAGGGGTCCCGAACAAAAACTCCCACTTGGCACGAGCGATCCTTTGGCAGTGGAGGGAGGGCACGGGCGCCGCACAGCCACTGTCCGTCTGAAAGACACACACACACACACACACACACACACACACACACACACACACACACACACACACACACACACACACAGACACACACTGCAGTGAAGCATTAACAGGAAAGTCAGACTTACTTTAATCGAGTGAGCTGCGACGATTACCGCTCTAATGTAAGCATTGACCTTGATCTGAAAAGGGATTAGCTTAGCTTAGCATAAAGACTGGGAGCAGAGGGGACTGTTAGCCTGGCTCAGTCAAACCTTTTCCCCCTAATTCTGTCTTTTTGCTAGCTAAGCTAAATGTGTTTCATGTCTAGTTTGGTATCATCTTTATAAATCACTCTCTTGGCAACAAACCACTGAAAGCGTTTGGTTTTATGAAAATATAATTGTAACTCTCATGTCTGTAATTACAGTCATGAAGCTTAGCAAAGTTTAGAGGCACAGGAAATCCGTAGTTTGGCCCTGTCAGTAAAAAAACAACAACGTCTCCTTATATGTTTACAGCTTTCATAAAAAGTGACATCTGTTTTACCTGATAAAGATATTTTCCAGAATATAAAATGATACCTTTAAGTGTTTTAATAATAAATAATAATAATAATAACAATAATGCAGTTTAAAGGCTTTATATGTGATTTTTTGATCCAGCAGATGTCGCCCTTGAGCACCAGCATGAAACCAAAACAACTCGCGCTGCATAGTTGTGTTAGCATGCTAATGCTAGCGATCTTTATTATGCTGGTATCTTCACACTGCATGTAAATTTACCTGAAATGAGCGTGATCTAGAAACACAGTTAAGCAGTGAGTACAGTATGTTATTCTTCTTTTCTCTAGTCCCTCAATTAAACAACTTTTATACACGAGGGGAGGAGTCAGCCGGCTGTCCCGACGATGTAAACAAAGTGAAGATAGGACTCTGAAAACTCTGAAAACATCACAGACAGTGGGACTCGGGTGTTACACCCATTGTAGACAGTCATGACTCACAGAGTTATTTTCAGAGGAGATACTTCATTTCTACATTTAAGTGTGAAAAATCGCATATTAAGCCTTTAACAAAATCTGCACTTGTTCACTTTTTGGTGCCCACCTGTATTCCTGAGGTTGCAGCCCCGGTCTCGTTGCTCTGGTGACTGGACTGACTGGACTCGGGGGACACACAGTCCCTGTCGCCCAAGCTGCCCGTCACCCCGCTGGAGCTCCTGGACGACGACCCTCCCATCCCTCCGTTCTGCTCCCCGTCTGCGGGCTCTTCCGCCCGCTGCAGGCCCGGCTGCTGCTCTGCCCCGAATCCATCCATCTCATCCCCCTGCTCCTCTTCCTCCTCATCATCATCACAACCTTCATCCTCGTCTGGAGAGTCCAAAGCCACTGGTCCCAGCAGGAGGATCTCCCTCCGTCTCTGCTCGGCACGTTTCTGCTGGGCGGTGGGACTCAGCGACCGGCGACTGGATCGACGCTCGTTGGTCTGATTATTATTGACAGACCCAGAGTCAGGCTCAGCGCTCGGACTTGAGCTGTCCTCCACGGCGTTCCCCCAGTGCAGTCTTGACGTCCAGCTCACCGGCGCCTCCACAACACTCTGATTGATAAAGAGCCGACGAGCGAGCTCGGTGCAATCCCCTTTCTCCAAGCAGCTCAAGTCTCTGCCTTTGTCTGGGATCAGGGGCCAGGATTCTCTGGTGTACTGCGGGAGCTGACGGCGATGCAGGGTCGGGGTTTCAGGTGCTCGAATCTCAGCTTGGAACAACCTCGGATCCCGTAAGGGCGAACTAAGATCAGTGGGAGGGTGGGACGGTCGGTAGATGCGCGAAGGCATGGCGGGGGAACTCTGAACTGCCGACAAAGCCGAGCTCTGCCGACGGAATTTCTGATCGCCCTCCACCTTTTTTTTGGATTCGCAGTTAGCGTGTGAGTTTGTGTCGTGCGACCGAGACTCCACGGTCAAAGAGTTTTCAAGCTGGTGAGAATCATCGTTGTTGTCGGTCGCTGCCGTCTGCTGGTCGTTTAAAGGGATGTTCATCTTGAGCGTTTGTGCATTTGTCGCCGAGGTGTGGAATTCCCCCACGGGCTCGCCTAGGGCGTTGTGCAACGAGGACCGTCTCGCCTCTGTGAAAATAGAGGACACTTTGGTCGCCTCCTCCGCCAGCCTGCGGGCGACTTCGGGGCTCTGAGTGGCGGAGGAAGATCTACTGTCGCTCAGCTGGTTCAAGCCCTCGATGACATTATTGCCTAGATGAAGGATCGCTCCCTGCGGTGAAGTGCTTCTGTTGTAGGCTGTGTGACGTGTCTTTTGCTCGCCGGACTTCCTATCGACGCTCTGTCCTCGGGTTTAAAATGAGGAGATCTGGAGGACGCCGGACTGGACCGGAAGCCGCAAACGCCCCGGCTCCGATCTGTGAAGTCATCATCTTTGGGGTTGACGCTGGCGTTCTGACGCTGGACAGGGGAGCCGGCCCAGGACTGACACCGCGGCTGCTGGCTGTAGCTAGAGGACGGTATGCTCTCGAGTGCATGGGCGAGTTTGATCCTCAGCAGAGGCGAGCCAAACTCCTCCACGGCCCGCTGCGTAGCCGCCCTCCCGATGGGGTCCAAGGGGGTTCGGCGGAACCCGGGAGAGAACGTCCGCTGGTGACTTCCCGGCGATCGGAAAGTCAGTTTAGGACTAGAGCTGCACGATGAATCCGGACTTCCAAACCAAACCGGGTCGCTGAGTCTTTTTTTGCGAAAGTGACAAGTGGTGGACCTCTCCTCCCTCATTCTCGGGCTGTCCATGGTCTTGACGTTTGACTTCTCGATGTAACTGAAGGTGACCACGGACGCCTGCCATCGCTGACCTCGCCCTCTTTTAACCTTGGGCAGTTGGGAGAAGTTTTAGGAACAATGGGCTTTCTAGGGGATTGCATGTGTGGAGAGTTGACTCCATCATCGCCCGGCGCGCTCCAACGCTTTGTGACTTTGGGAGAGCTGCTGGTCTGCTGGAGCTGGAAGCTGACCGTGTTTCTGGAAGGAGATGTGCCGTGCGTGTGCGTGCAGTCCTGAGCCAGACGCTGAGGCGTGGAGGTCTTGCCGGCGGTCTTGCAGGTCGCCTGGTTCGCTATCTGAGACAGGAGCTCTGCAGGATTGTCCTTGACAGAATGCTCCTGAGAAACCCCTTCTTCTTCCTTTCCCCCAAACCCCGCTTTGCCTCCGCTCTGATCCGGGGCAGACCTCACTTCCACATACAAATGAAGGACTTTTCCAGACTGGGACATGACCTCGTCTCAGGCCGTAA